ATTCTGATAAACTTAAACTCTGCTGTCAAGTTTTCCCAAGAAGAGTTTGAATTGCTGCATTCCATTCAAAAGAGCCTGAAAATAGTCAAGATGACAGTGAAAGCACTTTGCCGACGAGATGCGACACTTTTAACTGCAGAAGCTGCCCTTAGATATATGCTACGAAAATTAAATAACCAAAAAACAAGTTTATCTAAATCTCTGGCGGAAGCTCTAAGAAAGCGCATATCGGAAAGACGACAACCTATGACTGCAATTTTACAGTATCTTCATAACCCGGAAGAATATTTCAAAGAAATTGCAGAGACACGCCGAGATAACCATCCAGAGTTTCCTAGAATGAGTTGTGATGAAATGATTACGTCAATTACTGAACTTATTCATCGATTGCAAGAACAGACTCTCAACTCTTTACAAAACAGGAGTGCGATGAGCTCACCCGCTGCCGCTTGTGCTTCTGGTGAAAAGGAAACAAGTGAAGATGACACAGGTACTGTTCTGTGATGGGGAAGGAACTTAATAAAGCAATAGAAAAATCTATCACTACATTCAAACATTAATTCGAATTGAAATGACATTGTATGAAAATGGGGAGGGAGGTAGGTTTTCGGACGCAGCTTACAATTAATTCTTAAGTATTCCTCCCACGAGCGTTGAATCAGAAAGTTCTTTTCAGCTGCAAGTTACATTTGTAAAAAAATAAGATCATCGCTCAACGACGCCAGTTTGGACGCGTTGTGTTTTCTTCGTTCGATTTTGCAACAAACGCTATTTGCCTGATTAAAAGACTTGAATACTTGAGTTAAATTAAGCCTGCGCCTACATTTTGATTTATTTTGGAATAATTACTTTCGATACTTTCATTTGCAATTTGATTTTGTTTTAACAATAGTTCATAGTTTACAACAGTTCGTAGTTTATACTGTGACTAAGAAAGATATTTAAAATTGTTAAATGTTTTCTTATCATTAGATAGTAAGACTGATTTTATTACCGATTGTGATATTTGTGCCAATGAAGCAATATAAAAACAATTGTTGGATCAAATAACGTGTTTTCTTTTTTATTCTTAATTACCTTTATTTTATCTCATTTTGTGGACTCTAGGAAGTTGATAAATAGTTTCAGTGTTTCTGCCATATAGCGTAGGAAATTGCTTTAATTGCCGCCTAATGAATGTCAATAAAGAATTATTATTATTATTATTATTGTGGGGTATCTATATAGTTTTCTCATCTGGTTGGGTTCTATAAATATATAATTATAAATGAAAATGAAAAGATAAATATACATAAATATCAATAACATAAAATAAATATAAAAGTACATAAATAAATAAAAGCCCAACCAGATGGAGGCCCTCGGCAGGGGAGACCAAACGGCCGAGGGTTAGGGGGAAAGGGAAAGAAACCGGCGGACGATGCGGGCGGTATCGAGGAGCACCGCCTTCTGCATTTGAACCTGGAGCGGTCCGCCACGTAGTCCCAGCCGCCTCAGATGACCCGAGAGGCTGACTGGGATTAGCCCGTTTGCAGAGACGACTACAGGAGACCACCCCACATGTCGGTCACCTCGTGAGCCAGGTCCAGATATTTTGTTTGCTTGTCTGTTTCGGCTTTCACGAGGTTCTCGTCATACGGAATGGTAATGTCGACCAAAAATATCCTTGACTGTGCCCGGTCCATCAGCACAATATCAGGCTTATTCGCAAGAATAGTCCTGTCTGTGATGATGGCCCGGTCCCAATAGAGCCTGGCGCGATCATTTTCGAGCACGGCTTCCGGTAAGTACTTGTAATACGGCAATTTCCGATCCAAGAGACCGTATTTCAGAGCGAGCTCCTGGTGTAGAATTCTGGCTACTAGGTTGTGCCTGTGCAAGTACTCAGAGTTAGAAAGCGCCGAACAACCGGAGATAACTTGCCTAAGTGACACTCCGGGATGGCGACAAGCTCGACAGATGTCGACGGTGCCATCCTTTAGGATGTATCTCCGATAGTTGTTGGTCTTAATAACCTGATCCTGTATTGCACAGACAAAACCCTCGGTTTCCCCGAAGAGATCACCAAAGCGTAGCCAGTGGAGGGAGGCTACTGTGTCTACGAAAGGCTCATGTAGAGCCTTGTAGAACCTCCCGTGGAGCTCCTTCTCCTTCCATACGGTCTCCCGGTCGGAAATGCTCTGCACTGCCGGGTCTTGCCATTGCTCGTTGGCTAAGGATAGAGGGGTAAGTCCTTTATCACAAGAAATGACGTCCTTATAGAATGGATCATCCGATCTCGCCAGGAAGTAATCACGGAGGCTGCACACTTCGCGATTATGCATGGTGAGCGCGCTCAAGAAGCCACGACCACCATGCTTCCGCGGCAAGTACAGCCTCATTACCGACGATCTCGGATGATGCATCCTATGGGACGTCATGGTAGTGCGGACTTTTCTATCCAGGGCGTTAAGTTTAGTCTGAGTCCACCTGAGTATGCCAAAGGTATACATGAGGACAGGCATGACCCAGCCGTTATATGCGTGTGCCTTATTCACACCGGACAAAAGGCTGTTAAGCACTTTGGTCAAGCGTGCATAAAACACGTCGCAAACTGACTGTTTCATACCAGTCTCATCGATACCGATGTTTTGTGACATACCCAGGTATCGGTATGTTTCAGCCTTGGAAAGGGTCCTTAAGTTGACGGGCATAGATAAGTCTACGCCCTCAGAGTTAGCAACCCTTCTCCTTTCAACATGGAGGACCGCACACTTATCCGTCCCAAGCTCCATTCCAATGGAATTGCTAAATTCACAAGTGATGTTTAGCAATTCCATAAGATGGGAGCGACTGGAGGCGAATAACTTGAGGTCACCATATAGAAAAGGTGGGTCACTTTTGTCCCTCCTTTCCGTAGCTGAAATCCCCCTCCCGGAGCCCTCCAGTAAGGTACTGAGAGGGTTCAGAGAGAGGCAGAACCAGATTGGACTCAGACAATCGCCCTGGAAGATACCCCTTCTTATCCTTATGTGGTTCTCCGCAGCCATCATCCGCTCACCCAGATGACAAAGGATCGTACTCCACTGCCCCATACACTGCTCGAGGAAGTCTCTAACTGTACAGTCTATCTTGTACAGCTCGAGGACTCTCTTTAGCCATGTATGGGGCACCGAGTCGAATGCCTTTCTGTAGTCTATTTATGAAGGTAATGCCACTGAAGAAGAAGGTATCGCTGAAGCAACAGCTATACCTTCTTCTTCAGTGGCATTGCTCCACGGCAGGTGGTGGCGCGGGGCTCGCGCGTAGCGCTTGCTTGCGCGTACAAATCAACACGGGCGGCGCAGCGCGTGATAACACACGCAGTGAGAAGCCGCCATTATTAGGATTACTCATAACAATATCACAACACAAACTATAAAAGAAGTTATTATAGGCATTGTATTCTTGTTTATGTACATGGGTAAATCTCTGGACAAGCTTTTATACCATCTATATTGTGTGATGTAAATAAATTGATGGGTTTGATTAAATTTAAAGTTTTTTTGCTTCTTTTTAGAGCATTTAAATAAAAGTTTGTTTTGAAAAATATTCCTTTCTTTTATTTAAATTTTTTTTTATTAGTTATTACTGTACATGTTTTTAAGTTTGTTCATTTCATTTAATGGGTCATTGTTGGTTTTCCATATGATCGCCATATTAGATCCGCCATCTTAATTTTTTTATTTCCAGCAGTTGATACTTTTCAGTCTCTACAACATTTGTCCGACCACCACCATACTATCCTTAACCTTTGACAAATTATAACTCTTTAAAATTGACATAGCGGCCATCTTATTTTCAGCCATTTTGATTTTTTCACCACCACTATAACTTTCCTAGGGTGTAGTTTGATATTACCTAATTAAGACAGGACCCCGCTAAGTCTTAACGTTTAGCCGGGTGGTAGTAACACCAGCACCTCGAAGAGCTGAACGCGGACGTTATTTTATTTGTATTCTTAGCAGCAAACCCTTTCATTTAATACCCATATCATGGGAACGTATAAAAAATAACTAATCCGCCATATTAGATTTGCAATAGAATTTAGATTAGAATACAGAAAATCTTATCAAAATCGTTTGCACAAATAATGTTCATTGCAACGCCCCTTGGTGAGTTAATACGATATCACCTCTAAGAACAATCTCCAATGAGTTACATGCCATTTACAGAAAATCGTATCTAAATCGGTCCACCCGTTTTGAAGATAAATGGGAACATGGATAAATGAGCACACAAACAACTTAAACCCTAAACGCATATACCTTCTCCGTTACGTCGCCGGGAAAAAGTACCCTAAACCGACGAGAATGTATACGTAGGTATATGAATGTATAGGTGGCAAAAGGGGTATGTCAGAATCGTGTCAAAAAGAAAGTCCGTCTGCCCTCTGGGTGACAGGCTTGAGAGGATGCATCACTCTAGCTGAATGTCATATCGATGGTGGCGTGATAGAGTTGAAGGTATATCGAGAAGCCGTCACTCGCTTGTGCCGTATAAAGTTCACTGTAGGTGCCATGCACGGGTGATTCCGGCTAAGTCATAATACGAGTGCTTAATGACAGTGTCGTGGTTCTGTCCGTTGGAGTAATTCTTCTAATGCCGACAAAGAAGATGGTGTTGCTGAGAGACTGCTCTGTTCTACCATGAGATGGGTAGTATTGCTGTTTGTTTGCATACTTTGATGTTATCATGTAATTACCTCCCTCGTGTTACACTACTGTGTAACTGTAACGGGGACATATTACGGTATGGTCGAACTGTAATTGCTCTATACTGAATGTATAGTGCAGTACGCTGTTTTGTTGCTTATAATGATTAATTGCGTAAGCAGGAGACCAAGGTGAACATCTGCTCTCAAACTATTATTATTTTTAACAATTAACTGCGTCGTGTATTTCCGTGATATGTAAAAAAACGCGTCCAGGAGTAAGTACGTTATCAATTATCATAAACTAAAACATTCAATTTATTTGCAGTATGACAGAGACAACGACGGTCGGATATCCTACATAGAATTGAAAAACATCATCGAGTCCCGGGAATACGACCATGATCTGCCGGACAACCTGGTGGAGAAGATCATGGAGCTAGGGGACCGCGACAATTCCGGCTACCTGGACTTTGCAGAGTTCGTGGAGATGATGCACCACCCCGACCTAAAAGCGGTGTTCGGACATTTTGTGGCGAGATACGTCCACTCGATCATACCACACAGGGACCCTGTGGATACTACCGGTAAGTTTGAAAAAATTGCGAATAAATTTATGTCGAAAATTTAACAGTTTTTTTTTGTAATTAAAGTAAATAATTACAGTACAACGTCGTTTGAAGTATTTGTAAAAAAATTATAAATTATCGACATAATTTTTGACGTAAGTTTTAAAGTAAAATTGGCAGAATTTATTATTTATATATTTCTCCCAGAGTGTCTGGTAGAGAACCTTAATTTGAGATGTATAATAATCAAGGATAAATAAATGATAATAGAAAACATGAATTGGGTAGTTGAGTACATTATATAACATGAATTTCCTAATTTAAGTGAATAGCATATTCGGTTTTATAAAAAAAATTATTTCGACCCCTCGTTAAAAGATATTCAACTACTCTTATCATGTTGCTGGTCGCTTTATTTTTGTATCAATAGGCTTTTGTAAAAAGCGAGCGCAAAGTTTCAAAGCTTTTTCTCTTGATATAAAATCTACATAGTATATAGATTGTATAATATTTTGTTTTAATAATTATTATTAAAACAAATTATTGTAGTTGCAAGATAATATTTATTTTAATACATTTTTGATTATACTAATATAATTTTAACAGTAACTGTACAAGTGTGTTTGTAATTACCATGTGTTTTTAGCACAATGCAACGCAATAAATTACCGCCTTTAAGTCCTTTCTTCATTGGTCAGTACGACAGCGACGCAACCTTAACTTGTCGAGATTTTATCCATATCGATAATGTACACTACTTGATTTGTCAACATATTTATCGACAGTACGGCACACAATTTTTATTAATTGTTATCTCTCTAATATTGGATTTAAATTGTTCAACTTGTAGTGGTTATTAGCTCATAGCGCTGAAACAAATGCGTTTACATTCCTGAGGACTAAGATAAAATGCTTTAAGAGAATATTTTGACAGATGTCGTACGATGTATGGCGATATATATTACAGAATATTAATGTCTCGAATAAAATGTTATATTGTCGAAAGCTCGTCGCACTGCCTGTGGTCGCATCGGATAATAAAGAAGTCTTACTTGTTGAACATATAAGCCTAGCATAATTTTAGTACGCCTAGTGTTTGTTGCATCGTTGTCGTGCCGACCAATAAATAATCTGCCATATATAACTTAAGTGGCTGTGAATGCTTCAACTTATTAATGTTATATTTGCAGCATGATATTATTCGCATTTATATTTGTAATCGCTTTCACAGTATGTAAAGATTTATTTTATTCGCTAGGACCGTGGACAGGATTTCAAGCGGTGTCAACCTCCGATCGTGGTATTTTTATTTCTTTTTTTTTATAATTTTGGGTCCTTTATTTGTTTTTTTTTGCTGTCATTTTCCAGCTTTGATTGTCATTCATCATTCATTTTTTTTTAGTTATTTTGACACATCTAAAGTTTCGTTTTGTAAAAAAATCAATGTCATTTTTGGATCGTTATCAAGTTATTGTACATTGTTTTAAATGCTACTTTGGTCGCAGTCTTTTTATTTTAGTGATATGCAATTAAGAGTGTTAACTTGTGTATAACAAAAATTGGCCAAGTGCGTGTCCATAGGTATGCATAACGTGGGTTTAATTTTTAACATTTCTCATTTTTCTAAGATGTCCAAATTGGTTTATCCAACAATTTTTAAAGACATCTTGCAAATATTCCCCTCTACTTCTTTAACCATTATAGAGCATCGATTTGGTAGTGTAGGTTTCCTTGAGCCGTTTCAATTTCTATTTGTTGTGCCGGCTGTGCCCAATTCTGTCTCGCTCTTTTCGCATTTACCACCCGAAATGGGTAAGAAATTTCATGTATAAGTAATCTTAGATGTAATATATTTTAATTTGATAACGTCGATAAATTCTGTTATCACTGTCAATCAATATTAATGTGATAAATATTACATATATCGATAAAATCTTAATATAATTTAGGACTTTCCTTTTGCCGTGACGTTTGTTACTTCCGTTTTATTAAAAAAATGCAATTTTAAATGCATATTTAACATGGGCTAAAATAAATCATTGTAGGGAAACCTGCATTTTTATATAACATTGGGTGACAAACGACCACACAGTCCACCTGAAGGTAAGTGGATGCTGGGGCCCATGGACATTCACATTTATCTTCAATTAAGAATCAAAATGCAAATGCGTTGTCACCCCTTTTTTTTGTTACATGGGGAAATGCCTACGCATACCCGCCTCGCGGGGGCAAGGACGGGTTATGTCGGACTCGCACCGACTAAAACCCCATGGTGTTCCACCTTTGTCGCATATTGGCAGGGCCACGGGAACGCTTTCGCACACATCCGCGGCCCTACCAGCGCCTGCCGCCCCATGGCAGCACCTCCTCGGGAGAGGAAAATTCCTCCCCGTTCTCCTTCTAGGTAAGGCGCACCAGAACACATGGCGCGCCCTCCTCCACGGCCTCCAATTACGTATGTGCAACAGACGCCCCCGCGTCCCATGCACAAAGGCCATGGGGCCAGGAAAAACGAGCACTTAGAAGTACTAGCCTTCCCGACCCCAGCGGCGGATCTGGTCTATGGCTCCGCCGCCAACCAAGATTCGGCTGCGGAGGGTAGGGAGAGCGGCGCCTCGCAATACCGACAATCCTCTCCCCCCGCAGCCCCACCACCACCGCATCAACGGTGCGGCCCCGTTTGAGTCGCGGAGGATAGGGCGAGTGGCGCATCGCCATACCAACACTCCTCTTCCTCCGCGACTCCACCTCGGCTGCAGCGGTAGGTGGGGAGGACACACCTCTCACCGCAGTCCACCAACACACATCCAAAGTGGGCTTCCCAAGCCCACTCGGAGTGGCCACCTCGGGCCGGTCCTCCACCTCGGACCAGCCATATGGGTTCCTCTTTGTTTCGCCGTGGGTGACCAAGCCACGGCTTCTAAGCCCCCCCGCCACGACAAGGCGGGAACCCGTTCGGGGGGGAGTTGTCACCCCTGAGGACTAACATGGAATGCCTCTGAGTCATTAAAAATATTTTAGAAATATGCGAAGTGTGACGACGGCGCCGAATGCTCCCTGCTCCCAAAATTCGGCAAGAAATGCTAGTAAAACTTTTATATCTTTCAGTATATGTCTCAATATTAAGAACTGCACAATAGTGATTTTCTTTAATGATTTGAAATAATCGGGATATTTTGAAACATTGAGTTTACTTTTCGAATTATAAAATCTATTCAAACAATTATTTGTACTTTCAAACTTGAGAAAATATAGAGATAATGTACATTACGCGAAACCCTTCATAATGCGTTTACGCACTTGGCTAATTTTTAATTGATTAAATAAGCAAGTGGTCCAAAAATAAGCCTTTAGAATGTATTCATAAACATCTCATTTTTTGCTTTTACTCGTTTGGTTTAGTCAAATTATCCCAAGATACGGATAGTGTCGCTTTGTCACTCATTGTTTTTTTTTTGTTATTTCATTTTTCTGCGATTTTGTGTTGTATTTTTCTCTACTGATGAATGTGTTAAGGGTTACTTCTTATGATTTTTTAATAAAGTTCCTTGTGCAACCATTCTATTTAACCATCGCTTTGAGCGCTGAGAAAAAAATAGAGAAAATTATTAAAATTAGTGAAAAGGTATATGAATTCGTATACAGTTATACGATCACAGAAAGGTACAAATACAGTGTAAAGAGACAACCGTAATAATTTATCGACATATATCATGGATATCTGGAAATAATAAATTATAATTGTAAAGTACGTCTAACTTTTAAACTTAAACTAAACTTAATATAGTTGATATTTTATTAATATTGAAAACGACTAAAATACACAAACAAACATTTGATTAGTAAACGCGTTGTTTTCTGATGAGTGGTATTAAAGTGTCTCCTGTCTGTCCGTTTGTTCACGTCACTAAACGTGTTTAGATTCTGAGTCATTCTCTAAGTGTATTAGCCTATGAAGCGCCCAGCTTGTATAACTAGTGAGGCGCAGAGTATGATTACAATTATCGACATATACGATCGAATATGTGGGATTCCTTAACTGTAAAACTAGTTTGATTATCACAGACGTCCAAACTACTCACATTTATTATGGCGTTATGCTATAGCAAATGACAGTGTCATTTCGGACTCTAAGGGACCACTGTATATAATAGAGATTCTTAAAAATGTAAAGAAAAATGGAAAAAAGTATACTTTTTAACGTCTTTTTTTCATCATAATCCTCATCATTACAATATAGCAAAGTCATAAGAAAAATATTTGCCAATATGAGAGTCTGGTGGGTCGGTAATCGCAATTTTTTATTATTTACTGGTTGTTATTTGGAATACGCTGCTGCACATCTCTTGATTAGTCCATCCATCGCTTCTTACGATTCTCACGATACGAGATTGGGAAGTGGATATTCTTACATCGTCATTAAACGCTTTGCATATTTTTTTAGTTTAAATAAAAAATTAATGATGCATCCAGCGTATAGCTCTTACCTTGCATACTAATAATTTGACGTAGCGAAACGTTGACAAGTACTCTGTTGACTATCAAAACTAATTGTAAAGGCAAAAAATTGGCCTAAAATCCCAAAATGTCTATATTAACCAGAGCATGACTGCTTAGATGGTAAAAAGTCATCCGGCACAGATTTTGAAAAACATATTGTTGAATTTGAAAACATCTAAAGCTTCATCACCATTTACCACCAAGTGGGATTGCAGTAAAGCAATACCTTATAATAAGTAAAAAAATGTATACAAACCACTATAGAAATATTTCCCTCACATTATACATAGTTAGATAAATAATAATTTTCATTTGTAGTATCAATTTCATGGGATTTATCTACAATGTTCGATGATAATGATCACAATACTACTATGTCAATAGTAATGATCCCTGTTAATATCGATAGAATTTTACCACATCCCTATATCATGGATATCTGGATACATATCATGAATATCTGGTATGGTGGTTGCGTATATTTGAATTATGAGGAAAATCGTTATCAAAATTGATGTTTTAAAAATCCTTGAATTATCCTCTCACAAATGCTATGACATTACTGGCAATTATCGTTACAGTGAGCGCAGTACCATGCGTGTGCAAGCTACATATCAAATGTTGATGATGAACCAACTAAAAAAATACCAATGGTACGGCTCCGTTGCGCAGTAGCTTGGCATTGATTGAGGTGCGGCGCTGAGGGCCACAGTTTCGAATCCCGCACGGAACAAGTAATTCTTGCTGGTCTGTATGTTTGTCATTGTGAAATTCGACGACGTTAGAAAAACACCTAGTAATACTGACTGAGTCACTGGTTTGCTTCTCGCATGGATCTGGTATTTATACGGTCTACAAATAATTGTTTCGGGTCAATTCAATTCAATTTATTTGCTATTTGGTCTTATATTTAAAAAAATGTTCAAAATAAGAACCCTGCAAGGGCACTGCAAATATAGGCAATTATTAATATTATTATTACATTCACATTATAGTATTATAAAATTATCATTTAATGAATATTTACAATTAACTTAAAATAAAATGGATCATATTATATTATTTATTTGTTTCAATTTCCTATTTCCTACTCAATCACTAAAAAACTCCTGCAACGAGTAATAACATTTTTTCTTTAAATATGTATTAACTTCCTTTTTAAATTTTTTAATGCTTTTAATGCTTCTGATTTGTTCTGGAATGTTATTATATATTTTTATTCCTGGGTCTGGTTATTTTGGGTCTGGGTGTTTATCCATGTGCAATTTATATAGGTACATATATCAAATGCCTTCATGGTACAATATAAAATATTGGAGTGGGTGGAGAGTGTGGAAAAGATTTTTCAAATGAAAATAAATTTATCCTGGCACAAAATTAGGGTTCATTTTCGGTTTTGTTTTCCGCTTTGCCTGGTCTTGAGCAAGCCTCCTTAGTCACTCGTATATCTCGTTTCTTCACACACTCTTATTCTACACCAACATAATCATATTAGAGTGAAAGCTGAAAGTGATATAAACATTTTCGACAGCGCTTTCTTTCACACGCGTGTTAATATAAACAATAAATAATTTTTCTGACGTTACACCTTCGTTTGACGTCGTCTGACGTTACGTTTTGGCTCCCTTTGGCTTTAAAAGCAAATCATTCGTTAATTTCACTCGCTGTGTTCAGTTTTATATTTCACTTTTTAAAATTGGTCACTCTAACTACGGATGAATTAACCCTAATCTGTCCGTTTTTAATTGAAGTTAAGAGTATTTTTCCCTTTCGTAATGGACTCATTACGTTCGTATATAT